AGGCCAGCGCCTTTAAAGCATGGTTTCCGCCAGGTGCGAGGCCCGCGCGCCTTTACTCACGGGGGGTTTATTAATCAAGAGTTGACATTCCTAGTTACTAGTGCACGTACGTATATAGATATATATATATATACAGACAGACGATCAGACGGACAGACAGACAGACATGCATCCATACATACACATGTGTATATACACAACATATGAATACGTAGTGGCATGTACTAGTTTGTCTTTGTATATGCTACTATGTACGAGCATACACCTTCACATATATGTACCAATACAAACTAATGCACGCGAAGATGTACGCGAGCTTATACATATGTACTGCTAGAAACTGGAAATTATGAATGGGTACCAATAGATACCAGAGGACACATCTGTTGGTAGATACAAATGAACGCTTCCAGATACTCTTTTACACCAACAGTTTGTGGATGTGCATCTATGTATGCGAACATGTGCTAGTATGTACTGGTTAATACACTAGTTCATGATGCTGCGACAATGTATGCGTCGATATCCAGTACTATCTGCTAGTGAATATTCGCATTGTCTAATGTGCAATTGTATACAAGATATAATGGCACATGCTGATAATGAACTCGCTACTTTTGGAGGCCGCTGCTCAGAGTGCTGGTGCCTTGTCCAAGAAGAAGCAGAAAAACGCGGACTTCTGGAAGCAGCGAAAGGAGCGCTATAACACCATAACACATGCACAGCAACCCTGATAGTACCCGTAGAGGGACCCTTGATTGGAGCACTTTCAAAGCAGCGGAAATAGAAAATTACTGGAAGGAGCGCCGGCTGAAGGCACGCAAAGCAGGCAGCCTCAAAGGACCTGCCGAGGACGTCCTTTCTGACAGGATCGAAGAGAAGGTAAAGCACAAGCGTCAAAACTTGGACCGACTTCTTTCGATTGGAGGACAATTATCGGTTGATATATCTGGTGTCTTTTTACATGAGAAGCGTTTTTGTTATTTCGGTTTAAAATGAAGCAATTTATATTTATTGATTTTGCATGACTTTTGGATATAGGCATAGCTATTATTTATAATATTTAGATTTTTTATAATAAAACGAATTTTTCTAATTATATACGAAAAGATATTCTGATTTGATATGAATTGGTATAAAGAATTGATTTAAAGATTTCAAAATTGATTTTATTTATTCTTCTTATATTTATATTTATAAGAAAAAGATTTTGAATCTTATTTGAATTTCTAAAATATTTTTTGTTATAATTTTCGCTTGTCGCTTTGTTGGATTTTTTTGGAAAGGGACCGAATATATGAATAATCGACTAAATAATATCTACTTAAAATACTTTTTTTATTGCTTATATTTAATTTAGATCTGAGTCGTCGAGATATCTACTCCATAAAATGTTACGCTGAAATTAGCCTTATGTGGTGTGTCACGCCTCGGGGCAATTAGTCCTCAAAATTTTCGGGAAATTTCTGGGCCCCGACGAGCAAGCCGATTGGGCTTACCCGGGATCCAAAATTTCCAGAAAATTTAAAAGCTCGGGCTGCAGCTTTAAGAGGGCGGGGTCTCGGGCTAGGCCCAATCTTCTAAATTTTTGGCAAATTTGGAGATCCGGGTGGCTCGACGCCTCGGTCTCGAAATTTGCGGAAACTTTTGAGTCATCGCTTCTCTAAATTCTCTAAAAAATTTAGATACCGAAAATTTAGAGAACGAATGCAACCTGCTGATATCTTATGAATATTCGCTGCGAATTATGCGGGTCTTGGAACTTCGTTGCCGAGCCTCCACATATCTGCTGCCACAATGGCAAATGTTGCCATCTGCTTGATTTTCCGGATGTTCCGGAGCTCCTACAGCGCTTGCTCTTGGGACGCGACCGCCGCTCCCGGCGGTTCCGCATGTGCCTCCGACGCTACAATACCGCGTTGTCGTTCGTTTCCTTCGGCGCCAAGATACAAACTTTGGTAGGCAATCCGGGCAATCCCGCGCCGCCCATCTGTGTGAACCATGGAGCTGTTTATCATTATTTCCACCCGCTCTTTGCACAGGAGGATGCCGCGGCCAAGCACGCGTAGCTGTACTTGTTCGATAGTGCGCGAGCTACCCGCGTACGTGCAGACCGGGACGAGCTCCTCGACGCAACGCTGCTCTCCGAGCCGGTGGCGATGCTGGAAACATACGCCAATCCATATATTCGAGCCTATCGACGAATGGGAGAATTCGCTAAGGACACAGCCTTTGGGGTCAGATTGCACATGTACGGCGTAAGCTCCCACTTCCGTGACATGCCTGTAGCTTGCGCTTCTTATGCTCAGGAGATCGGGGACAGCGTGGCCTGGCCGCAAGTTACTTCCCAGCAAGCCGTAGTCGTGCTTTTGACCACACTTCGGATCTTTAGGTGCCTGAATTCCAGCTTGGCTTCGCAGCTGTCACGGACAGCGATCTGCGCCGCTATAATGCCCCGCAGGGAGATGAACTGGCCGTCATCTTCGAGTTGCAGGGCGCTGCTCCGGCCGGACCTCGCGATTTAGTGGGGTGGCCGAGGGACCCTACTATGCCCATTTATCGTGTTTCGGAACGGAATGAATATGTCGATCCCATGACCTATCCCTTGATGTTCCTTGCTGGAACGCCGGGGTGGCATGAGAACTTGCAGCATAGTGACCGGTTCCGTACGGCGTACTATATACACCTTACTCCTGCCCAATTCTATTCCCATCGCCTCATGATACGCGATTGGAATCGTGTCTTCCCACATGGAGCAGGACAATTTTTCCAGCAATACGTATTGGATGCCTATTGCCGCATGGAGACCATGCGGGTGCCGCTTGAATTAGAAGCAACTTCGAGCAGAGACAGAGAATGGCTTGGAAGAATACGTGGCGGCGCAGGAGGCCGGCTCCTGATTGCTAACAGATAATCTAGCATTTTGTTGTTTGGTGCCGTTGTTTGCTTTCGCCAGGCTGGCGAAGATGCCGCGCGCTGCGGTCGCCCGATGATACTGCCCGCATCATTTTCTGGGAGTCCGCGGAACATGTATAATCCGTATTTGGATGCAATCGCCATGGTCAGAAAGATGGGACGTCCGGATTTCTTCATTACGTTCGCCGCTTAGCAACACACTAAGTAGGGTGCAGTGTTGCAAGGACAGCTTGGCTGAGGGGTCTAAGGCGCCAGTGACAGCCACTGGTCCGCAAGGGCGCGGGTTTGAATCTCGCAGCTACCGTTTTGGAAATTTTTGCAGATCGTACTAGAACTACAAAATCAGCTGGAAGAACTATCTTCTGCTCAAAAACTTTCCTGAATAGATGTGCGTGCTCGCCGTACCACCCTAACTCCATTCAGGGTCCTCCCCAAATTCCAACCCAAGAGCTCTTTCAATGACGCAAATGAAATGCTATCTCTGAGCCAACCCTGCTTGGGATGAGATACACGACAACTTGTGTCCGGACCAACGCGCCGCCGATCGGCCTGATCTGATTGCGCGTGTGTTCCATATCAAGTTGCAGTTCTCATTGGACGATCTAACCAAAGCCAGCGTGCTGGGCCGCGTTGTTGCTTGGACTTACTTAGTGGAATTTCAAAAGCGGGGGCTTGCCCCACGCCCACAGTCCCATTCTCCTCATCGTGCACTCAAACGACATGCCGCGCACGCCTGCTGACATCGATGCACGCACGTGCGCGGAGTTGCCGCCACAGAACACAGATGGAAATTAAAGGGAACTCCAAGAGATTGTCGCCGGATGCATGCTGCATGGCCCCTGCGGGGCCCGGAACCCAGCCGCGCCTTGCATGCAAGCCGACGGTTGCAAAGCGCATTACCCTAAGGAATTTCGAGATGAGACGTGTGTGCTGGCGGACACTATATAGGCGCCGAGATACTGGTGCGGAGGTGGTCAAAAGCAACTGCATCATGAACAATCGAGATATTGTGCCGTATTATCCCTATCTGACCAAGAAATATGATGCTCATATTAACGTGGAAGTGGTTTCCAGCATCCGCTTGGTATGTACAAGTATGTTTACAAGGGACACGACCGAGCCAGATATAGCCGATGCTGCCGATGAAATCAAAGCTCATATCGATGCTAGATGGGTGGGTCCCTCTGAAGCTGCCCAAAGAATCCGATTAGGCTGTTAATAGACTATATATACTAAAATAGATTAATAGTCTATTTTTAGATATATATACAAAAATAGACTCGGATATATACTATTTGAAATAAACTATTTCCGTCTATTTTAAACTACCCG